ATTATATTATTCTATAATAACATTCCAGAGAATGGTGAAAACAGAAGGGAAAAAAAAAAAGAGAGAGAAAATGCACCAAACACACTCAGTTCCCGCCATGCTCGTTCCTGTGTACGGAACAATTTGGGGACATTGGGTTACAATAAACATTGGGTATTCTGTTGTTATTTAACCAGGTCACAGTACAGACCCTAAAGGCAGCAGGAATGGAAGAACAAAGTGCTTTTTGCTGCCTCTGGTGCTGTCGTGCTGGTTTTGTCCCCCAGCAGTTGTGACAGAGCCTGCTCCAAATGGGAGCGTCTGAGACACAGGGTAATCTTTTGTGGTGATGCTTAATGGTTCCAGCACGGGGGACTGGACCCTGGGACATCTTCAGGCTTTCACACATGACAAAAAACACCCAATTATGTCCCCAGCAGCGTGCAAGGATGCTTCCCTCTTTTGGTTTTCCTCTCCAACACCCCAAATGTGCTTCATTCTGGTCCTGACCCCATGAGCAGCACCCTGAGCCGAGGGAATTCAGAGAGCTGGAGCTACAGGAAGGTTTTATCCGTGGAAAARCCATCACAAGCAGCATGTGGCACRGAGGAGAAWGAAAGGCTGGGTTTAGGCAGCAGCAGCCAGGATWGTGAGGGTGTTGGAGTTAATATTCCGAGTGCAAATTCCGAGGAGTCGGCACCGCTTGTTCCATTATCATCCCACGTTCACGCCTGGCTGCACCTTTGCTCAGTGACAAGCATCTGGATTTTCAGATTCGCAGGTAAACTAAGCAGCAAATTTGTTCCTTCCTCTGCTGCTACACAACAGAAAAAAATACGGATGGAGAGGGAAAAACTGGCAGGGAGCTGGGAACTCAGCTCTGCCTCCCYGGCAGCAGGTGGTGCTGAGAACCCAACACAACATCTGGAACATCTCCCTGCCCTCKAAAAGTGCCCTGGTGGAGAAACTGAGCTCACAAAGCTGGGATTTGTGCAATCCTGGTGCATGAACATGGCCTGTTTGACTCCTGTGTGAAGGGACTCRGTGCTAAAAAAAAAGGGGATTTTCTCAGTTTTGTGTGAATTGATCTTTCTGGGAGTAAACCTGGAATCCCTCACTCCCACATGCAAGCCAGGAGCTCAAAGCAAAGTTGGGTTTCTCCTAATTTGGAAGTGAGTCACAGTAAGGCAGGGAAAAGCAGGAAGAGCCCAGGATAAAGCTGGGATTCACTGAAGCGTTTCTGCAGGTGAATTATCCAGGAAAGTCATGTCAGCAAGGATGGGTTTGGTAAATGTTGAATTACCAAGCTGAACCAGACCCTGAGCTGGTAATTTAGACAAAGCTCCCAGGAAGGAAAAGGATTGACTGATGATATATTGATCAGCATGGAGGTTTTATTCTCTTTTTTAACACCCTGGATCACACACACAAGTTGAGTTTAATCTCGAGCTGCTGTGACTCTCTGAGCTGTGAGTTTGAAAKGTTGGTGCTGCTCTTWTCAGAAAACCAAACTTGAARATCCAGCTGCTTGCTGAAGAAYGRGAAGTTCACGGTGCCACCRTGGCCACCAGGTTCTCAGCCTGAAYTGTCACCCACAGATCCTGCTGTGCTCCTCAAAATGAAGATACTGAAGAATCTTTGAGTTCTCTCAAGGAAAGGTGAAAACYTCAGGCATCCCAGAGCCAGCTGAGCACAGCACATTGAAAGGGAAAGCTGGGCCAGTGCTCCAATTCCTGATTAATAAATACCACGGCAAAAATAAATACCCGAGTTCAGCTCTGCAGAGCCGGCGGCGCTTCCGGATTAACAACTTCCCACCGGTGATTCCTTTCTAAAGGAGCAGCTGAATGGAATGAGCCCTCTCAGGCAGCCACTGGGCCACAGCAAAGGACATTTCACTGCTGGAGGTGGCTGCAGGGATCAAAGGCAGAGACTTTTTCTGGAACCAAGCTGGAGGAAGGGATTARTCACTGGCTGAGAACCCAACCCCAGAGCTCAGAGATGCCTCCAGCACGCTCACCCCTGAGCAGCAGGAGAAACCAAACTGCTGCAGGGCTTGTCCAGCCACCCAGGGAGCTGCAGACAGGAGAGGGGGACAAGCTGACATGGGAGCAGAGGTGGGGAAAATATCCRTTTGGGTTTAGYCCCAAATCTCAGAATYKCAGAATGGTTTGGGCTGGAAAGGACCTTAAAGCTCATCCCATTTCACCTCCCATTCACTGTTTCACCTCCCTGTCCAGCCYRGCCTTGGACATTTCCAGGGACCCAAGGGCAGCCACAGCTTCTCTGGGTAACAGAAAGCTCAGCAGTGGCTGTGATGTGGCTGCTGGAGATGGTCACACTCCTTCTGTCCCGGGAAGTTCTCCTGAGGCAGTGCCAGAGACACAAACACTCGGGCAAATCGAGTTTTTGAGCTTGCACAAAYGAGATTTCTCATTGCCAGCCTTTGRGTTTTGCTGAGATGCTGATTAAGGTGAGATGGGAAGAGTTTTTAATGTTTTAAATGCAGGGGTAAAGCACCTACATCTGTTCCAGGGGCTGCCCTGAGTGACTACAAACAAATTCACATTACGCTGCATTTCCACCCACTCACTTCAGGCTGGGGACAGGGACAGAATATTTGATCAGATTCCCGTGCAACTGAGGAATCTTACTGATGTTTTAGTAAATTATGCCATCTATATTTAAGTCAAAAGTTTTTTTTAAAAATCAAATATATTCTGTAGGCCTGTTTATCTCGTTATCCATGAAAGTTTCAAAGATCCAATGCAGCTTTGAGCTTGGCTCTTGATTAATTCCCAGCCCAGCAGGGAAAAGAAATCTGCTTTGGAGGACAAGCGCCAAATCACAGCCAAGAGTTTGAAAATGATGTTTCAAGGAACCCATCAATAAATAAGGTCAAAACACCCCCAGCTCTCCSAGCCTGAMTCCAGAGGGGCTMCAGCMCTTGGAGCAGCTCCATGTTTTTCTCTGGACTCACTGCAACAGCTCCACACCTTTCTGACGCTGGATTTTCTGCAACAACCTTCTGGATTCTGGTGGAATATTAAATATTTTGATCCTGGCTCCTGCTGGCATATCTGTGCTGCTCCTCGGAGTCAGATGGTGCCTGGACCCACTTCAATCACAACCCAAACCCACCCTCATCCCCTCCTTTTGAATTCCTCCACAAACTGTGCTTTGGGACCTGAACACAGAGCAATTCCTGGCATCCCCAAGTCACTGGGAATATATTTGTTACACAGAGCTACAGCATCACTTCCAGATCTGAGAGAATTGGATATTCCCCATCAAAAGACTCTTTTTTCCCCATAAGGCAATGAGATTCACAGCTCCTCAGTTCCTTCTGACACTGGCACGCACTGGTTTGTGTCTCCTGCCATCCCCACATGCCCAGCACATCGCCCATCTCAGCCAGCCTCAAACACAGCCTCCCCTCTGCTCCCAAAGCTCTTTTCCAGAGCAGACCTTGGGATTTGTCACTTTTTCCATCCCAGCCAGAGAGATGAATGTACAGACTCTTAACAGGGTTAAACACCTGAGATGGATTCAGCATCAGCACCTTGGTGGGATGGGTGCCCRGAGGCTGCTCAGGGTTAACCCTTCTGTGACAGATCCCTGCAGATTTGGGCTCTTTCAAAATCTGGGATTTAGATAAATTCCCTCCTCTGGAATCGCAGAATTTCCCCACAGGACATCCCCCACAGGATACACAGATCCCAACACGTCCCTCAAAAGTGACACAAAGCAACCTGTACGTGTCAAGGTCCCCAAAAACCAGCAGGACTCCTACACCCAAGATGTGCAGACAAGAGCCAGGTACAAAAAACATTCTCTTCCATCAACAGAAACCTATTTTTCTCTCACAAATAACACCCATTAGCAACTCTGAGGCGAACAGTCCCCGCTCTGGAGGAGGATGGGGTTTTTCAGCAGACACAATGCAAAGATTTTGTAGAATTTTGCAGAAGGACTGATGTGAAAGATCATTTCGCAATTATCCCAGCAATTTTCTCTCCTCATTGTTCCCGGGCCGTAAGGGTTTTTAAATGCGAGCAGAAGGATTTATTCATCACAATAATAATAAAACGAAATATTAAATCAATGAATCTCTTTGCATGCAGCATAAAGATCACATTGCTATTAAGCTCAGTGGCGTCCTGTCACATAAACCACACGCAGTTTGTGTATTTAAGTACCATCTCCCTCTTTTATTTTTCCCTTCTCTAATTTGTAAGGCATTATCCTTCCATTTGCCCTCTAAACACAACCAGATTCAGACCACACAGTGTTAGTTCTTGTTAGTAGCTCTGTGCCCTTGCTCTTTTTATGAAGGCATGTGGAAATTTATATTTAAAATTGATTGTTAACAATGGCCAGTGAAGAAAGTTATGCTGGGATGACAGAGAAGTCCTAAAATAAATAAAAACTCAGGGAGAATTCACTCCTTACAATTCAATGTCTGAGTGAGTACATTTTCAGGGGTCTGAAAATAAATGTTGGCTTTTGAAGGTGTCGCTTCTTCAGTTTGGCTGGGGAAAAGAAATAATCGACCCAAATATATGCAAAATTCAGCCCCAACCTTGAGAGCGTGGAAGCTCTCACGGTCTCATCAGTCTTGGCTTGAAATTCCTTCTCTGCCATCCCTCGTAATGGAAAGTGWGAGATGAGTTTTGAGGTCTTTGCAGTTGACACGGATTCAGTGGGTCCCTCTTATGTTTTAATAAAAAATTCATCTGGCAAAGTGCAGAAACAGTTACTACTTAGGTATTTATAAGGTGTCAACTGTCCTCACAGGGAGGCTCTTAAGGAGCCTAAGCAAAGATTTCCAATGAGCAACAATCTTGAGCTTTAACCCACCAAAATTCACGTTAGGCTCCACAAAAGCCATTTGTATTCCACGAGCACGCAATACCTGGTATCTCTTGTTTTTTCTCCACCGATAAAAGTTTCCAGGTGAGGTGCAGACACCTCCAGACATCCCCAGGACCAAAGCTGAGCTGACCCAGCCAACCCTGACACACAAACCCCCAAAATCATCGTAGCCACATCTGTCTTACCATGATCGGGACGCCGATGTCCGGCCACAAGAGATCCTCGGAGGGGAGCTTGGGAGAGTTCCACACTACCACAACTTTATTTAAGTAGGGGAGACCATTGAGCCTCTCTAGGGAGTTCATCAGCACTTCCTCCCGCTCATAAGTCAACATCACCACCGTGAACTGCTCCCGCGGGACGTTGCCCCCCAAAGCAGCCTGGAACTCCTTCCCAGAGCCACCCGCTCCTCCACCGATCGGTCGAAATCCAGTCCCAGACCCCAAAAATTTTGCCTCCGATGGTAAAACGGGGTCAAAGGGAGTGTAGGGGAAGAGGTGGAAAGGCCCCGGAGCGGAATTCCAATTCCTGTAGATATCCATTGCGGTGAGGGTGAAATTGCGGAGATATTTGGGGGATGCATAGGGTGGTTCTGTCTCCACAGGCCCCAAGTCCAGGTCACCATTGTCTGCCATATTGGGGTCCGTGCCAGCAGCTTTGCCAGACCGGTGGGGGATCTCCACRGCGGGTTCTTCTCGGATGGGAGCGGCCGGGATTTGGATTCGAGTCCTTATGACAGCTAAGACTGTGCTGAAGACGTTGTCGGAGGTGGAGAAGTAGGTCTCCCACAAGAAGCGGCCCTGCCTCCTCATGGCAAGGAGATCGTTGTCAGAAATGCTTCTCAGAAGGAAGTGCACTTCTGTGATACGTGGCTTTGGTATGATTAAGGCTGCCTCGTTCCACCGGATCACGTCGTTGTAGGGGAGCTGAACCTGCTCTCCGAGAACCACCGGGATGGCCCCGACTTCCAGAGCCTCGAACAGTCTCATGGCACACCCRGCGGAGATCACTAAACGGGTGTCCCCGGGGGTGATGATCAGTGCAAAAGTAGAAAGCTTCAGTAGCTCTAGTCTGTCGTCCCTTTCTCCACACAGAGCCCACTCAGTGGGCAGACTCGCCTTGGGCTGGTTCTTACACGTGAACTCCACCAACACAAAGTCCAGCTTGCTGTCCTGAACGGCCTTCAAGGTGGTGATGATCCGGTCGTCGTAGTCGGCCGGGGCGTTGCCTTCGATCTCCTCTTCGAAAGAGCGAACCTCCTGCAAGCTGGAGCGGAGAGACTCGATCTTCTCCCCCTGGAAACTGAACAGGTACTTACGCTTGACCGGCACCTGGGGCGGGATTTCTAGGAAGTTGGGCTCGGACATGGCGTGCACCAGAGGCGACACCACGATGTCGAAGCCCGGTCGATACTGGGCGTCGTAGAAGGTGGACTGGGCGATCATGGCGCGCCCCGTGCTGATGTTGTAAATGAAGTTCTGAGTTTCCGACTTCCTCGACAGATTGATGATGAGATGGTTGTGTCCATCAGTCCTCCAATATGGCAAAGAGTGCAACTGTTGCTCTAGTTCAGTAGGTTTTGGCATCACGGGCTCTTGCATTTCCCCCACTAAAATTATATACACACAAGCAATATTTGCATTTTCAGTAACATAAACATTAGTTCTGACAGTCGCCTCAAAGGCCTGTTTAATTAAAGGGTCTAAGGAGCTACCGAAAGGGTAATCGTCACTGTTGTAGACGTAGACCGGAAAGCCGGACGTCAGCGGGCAGCGGGAGTAGTCAAAGCAGTTGTGCAGCCTGCAGTTCCTGTTGGATTTCGGCAGCGGGAAGGTCGCGTCGTCCTTGTCCGGCAGCAGCCGGATGGGCAAGGACAGCTTGGGCTGGTTCTGAGCCATCARCTCTTTGTAGGAATGCTCCGTCTGGCTGATGACGTTCTTCAGCTGCAGCAGGTCCTGCTTGGCATTTTCGATGCTCTTCTTGCAGGCCTCGATCTTCAGGTTGAGCTTGGCGATCTCGCTGTTGAGCTCCTGCCGCTTGGCCTCGAGCTGGAGCAGCTCCTCGCTGACCGACTCGCGGATGCGGCACAGGTCCTGCACGTGCTTCACCTCACACAGCTCGTTGCCCGTGCGGGGGCCGAAGATGCGCTTGCCGGCATCGTCCGCGTCGTCGATGGTGGTCAGGTAGTAGTGGGCGATSAGGGGGAAGAAAACGAGGATGATGAAGAGGGTGAAGCTAAGCCAGGTGAGCCGGATCCGACTGGACCACCTCAACACCCAGGGCTGGCCTCCGTTCCCCACTCCCCCATTGCGCAACATCGTATAGCCAGTCATGAGTGCCCGAGCTGCCGCGCGCGCAATCACGTCGGATCAGTAGCCATAACCAAAGGAGTTCTTAGGGCGAGTCTCTCGGAAGGAAATGTTATTGTGCCTGCTCAACGARAAGCCAGTGGAAGGGGAATTTCATCTTTTCTTCCACGCTCGTTTTGCTGCAGGCGCGACTTTTGATCCCGTCGGGCTCGAGCATTGACCTTCTCGCCCACCCCCAGCCCACCCGTGGTCCGCGGGCAACCTTTGCTGGAAGTGTCACAGCGTTGTCATGGTGATTCAAAGTCGCAGGCGACAGAAGGAAAACACGGTGGGAGCGAGCCAAACTCTACCGCCGCTGCCGACATCCCGCGTTACCATCCGATGAATATGCAGAGGTGGCAGCCATAGCGAGGAAGGAGCCGGCAGGGACTCGCAGCGATGTCAGTCTCACTCATCGCTGCTGCGGGGATGAAGCTCTGCCATTCCTATGAGAGAAAAAACCACACAGTCAGACAACGCAACCAAAATGACCCATCAGCGACACAGGATATCGTGACATTTAACAGCAATTAAATTAATTGTCCTCTCTGGAAAGAATAACCCCAGGGGTGTCACCTGAGAAGGTGAGGGATCCATCAGATATGGACACACAGCTTTCTCCAGGCACTCTGCCCTTCTGTAGGGTTGTTCCAGACCACACAAGCTCCTCAGGCCTGGACCTGGATCCCTTTTCTCCACCTGCAAGGACCGTCCCCTCACATCCAAAACGCTGACAGACACCTGCCCTCCATGCCCGCCTCGCTGCGATCCCGGGACACGGCGGCGCTGGGAATTTGTACTGCATAACTGAGTGTAATCACCATTGTTCTGCACTAGTGACTGGAGATGATGAGGAATTTTTAGATGAAGTGTTTTGCTTTCATTTCCTGCTGGAAAATTTTGATTCATTGCATGAGAAAGTTTAAAGGGGATGCGCTCGTGTTGGTTACGATTAACTGGCTGGCTGCGTAGGATGGAATTTTTGGTCAACACTGGAAAAGTCTACACTGTCATCAAAGTTAGGATCTGTTGGGAACCTGTTGGGAAAAATTCTTGGCTGTGAGGGTGGGGGGGGGTCCTGGCACTGGGTGCCCAGAAGCTGTGGCTGGATCCCTGCAATGTCCAAGGCCAGGCTGGATGGGCTTGGAGCACCCTGGGATAGTGGAAGGTGTCCCTGCCCATGGAATGTGGAACTGGATGATTTGTAAGGTCCCTCCCAACCCAAACCATTCTGATTCTGTGAAATCCAGCTCTGACTCTTAACTCTAGGCCAACAAATTTAAATCTAGGCCACATCAATWTGCTGCCACTAGAAAATCTCCCTTCCCTTTTATTGGCATCCTCCAAGGTATTGAAGTTTCTGGGATATTCTTTCACACACTGGACTCCCCACATCCCTGATGAATACAGAGCTGGGCTTAGCACCAGCTCCTGCACGGCCTCGAGAGAAGCCCATTCATTTCCGTTTCAATTTTTAATTAGAGGAAAGTCATCCACGCTGGTGACGGTCATTCTTCACTAAATCTATTTAATGCCCTTCTCATCTACTCATCAAGAATTGCCAGAAATAAGGTGAGGAAGCAAATCCCAGCTGAAAGAGAGATCTGGAAATGAGCCAGAGCAAAAAAGTTCACCTTAAAGCAGCAGGGAGAAGTCAGGAGGAATTTTCAGTGTTGTACTCAAGTGCATGTCAGAGAAAATAACGGGAAAATTTGATTTTAACCAGGAAAAATCATCATGAAAAGAGGAAATACGTGGGGTAATAAAGCACAATCCCTGGGCATGTTGTTACACGGCCATTTGTTGTCAGTAAATAAACACCCCGTGATTAAATGGGATTGTCACCCCCCACCAATGTGACCCACAGCCCAGCTGCACAGCAGAATGGACACTTTAAGGCAGATTTTAAATTCATAACACTGGCAAGCAGCAGTGGTGTAAATCTCAAAAAGCCAGGAGGATAAGGGGGCTAAAAAGTCAGCAAAAGGCTAAATCAGCTTTCTTGGATGTTGGCAGCACACGGCTGTGGGCAGATGGGAGGCTCCWGCCTCTGGGACTGCTCTGCCCAGCAGCCCGATTTCAGCAGGCACCACTGACTGAAGGCCAAAAAAGAATAACAATATTAATAAAATAAGCTTTTAAAGTCTATTTTTCTTTCTTTGCCCCCCTATTTCGAGCTCTCTGCAGGAAGTGAAGCTCATGCTGTCTGTGCCAGTCCCTGCTATTTCAACCTGGTCTCACGGGGGCTGCAAAGATCCTCCAKTTGCCACCAGTTTTGTGCAAACAGCTTGCCAGGAGATGATCTGCCCTAATAAAGCTTTTCCTGGGGGAAATGCCAAAGCACACGCTCACCTGAACATCACAGAATCCAAAAATCAGCTTAACTTCAAGGCAGATGTGGGGAAAATAAGCTTTGCTGGGATTTTTTTGTTTGGGGGTGCTATGGGGTAAGTGGGGTCAAAGGTAACACAGAAATGAGGGATCATAAATGTGGATGTGTTGCTTTGAACTGGTGAGAAAAGCTGCAGCCCCAAAAGTGAGACTGAAYCTAAATTTTACTCCTTTTTGGTTACTTTGCTCATTTATAAGGCATCAACARCAATGAAATGGCAACTGGACACTCTAAAATGGCAACTGGGGTCCTTGAAAAGTCAAATCCATCACCCCAAACACGGTTTTCTGCAGCTGTTCTGCCACCTAATCCTTCCAGTGGCTCCTCTGGTCCTTCCCTTCCTGGACACAGAACAAACTTCATCCTCCTCACCTAAAAATGAGAGTTGTGAAYTAAAAATATCCGTATGGTCACCAGCGTGGGGTCACCAATGTGATTCTGTCTCTGAAAACACCACCTGGGGAAGAACAGGGCAGGCTGAGGAGGGATTTAAAACGCACCACACGTGGCTTGGGATTAGTTAAAAGTATGGAGTGTCAGTATGAAATATGTGCTGGTGATAAAAAGAGCACTTTAGACACACTCCTGGACTCTTCTTCACTATTGAGATTTTATTTCTCATCAACCCAAAAGAGCCTGAGGTTGTCACACGTTGCCATTAGCACTTATAAAAAAAAGATAAAGTAAAAACCCAATCTGTGGTTTTACCAAAAGAGACTTCAGGGCTGGGGGAAGCTCTGGGGAAAAAGGCTGCTGATTCCCATCACTCCCAAAAAGAAATSTGGGAGGAGGAGAAGAAGCAGGACAGTCGCTGGGCTTTTTTAACTCATCCATCTCACTCCCAAGTTTAGTTCTTTAAACTCACTAARCTCCACACTGAAAACTCTTGTTGATGTCACAGCACAATGCTGCTGCCTGATGGAGCTAATTACACATCCACAAAGAGCTCTCAGGAGATCAAAGATCAATAATTACCAGAGCCTCTTCCCAAATGCCAGCCTGACTGAATTCCCAAGCACAGCAGGTTTCCCAAGCTGCATTCCCAGCTTTCCTCAACTCCACAGCAGGCACTGCTCATGCCAGGGAAGTTATGGGAAYACCTGAAGTTCTCTCTGATTTTGCATTTCTAGGAATAACCCAGCTGGTCTGATCTGTGGGTGTTCGTGGAATCATTACTCTGCAAATGTTTGAAAAGCTGAGCACATCTACTCCTCCCTGCTTACACCTCTGTTATCCATCTCCCAGTAAAAACAGGGAAATATTTTTCCTTTCTCAGCATATTTGTGAACAGAGCCTGGAAAATTTAAACTTACGGTTCTTCAGAGCTCAGCAGAGCAATACAGAACCAAGAGGAAGAAGATGGTGGCACAGAGGGAAAATCCACTCTGCTAAATCCGAGTTCCCAAACTCTGTCTGAGTGCATCCATCCTCATCCTYATTCTTTTCTCATGAAATGAGGGGTCTGCAGCATTATTATTCACAAAGTTCTCCATGGAGAACAAACCCACCTCTGCCACGCCTCCTGGCAAACGGAGAGGGATCTCAGGGAATGTGGAAGTGGCTCCCGTGTTTTATCTGTCCAGGTTTGGAAAGCCAGCTGCTATTGCCAAATCTCTTTTTCACCAGCACTAGAAATGAAATCAAAGAGAGAAAATCAAAATAGAGCACGTTGTCTCCTTCAGTACAGAGACCTCCGGAGGTCCCTTCCCACCAAAATGATTTTAACAGTCTCTGTTCGGGCTCCCAGATGGCAACAATTGAGAAATGTGGGCTGAAACCTGGAGTTAAGATGTCCTGGGCCTCTCTGCAGCACCCAGGGGACATCACACATCCCCCAGGGATATCACAGACGCCAACACCACTCTGCAGCACCCAATGGACATCACACATCCCCAGACCTCCACCTCTCTCTTCA